GCTGCACGCTTACCGCGTTAACGTCCGTCGTACCGCGTTACCCGACGTACGACCGTAGACGAAGAGGAAAGNGGAAGAGAGAGAGAGAGAAGAGAGAGAGAGAGTACACATGTATCTATGTATGTATATACATCAATTCATATGATATGTACTGGTATTGTTACGAGATACTCATAGGTAGTTGTAAATATAATGATGTAAATATAATAATATCAATAGAATGTAAGATTACTTATGATAATACCATGCACCTAGCTTTTCAGATAAAGAAAAAGAAGATAATACCATACACTTGAAAATTATGGTGATATCACATATACTGCCTCGTATATCTAAATATAGTTTGAATATAATAGACACAAGATATATTTGTAGTATATCGTTATTTATAGCTTATAAATACAAGATGATGTATGGACATGTCAGGTAACATAGTCATGTTTGTATCCATGTCCTGGATTTTGAGAAAGGCTCAGTTTTATCCCTTCTTGCCTTAATTTTGTAATATCCAATCTTTTCTGAGCATCGTCAATGTGTGATGGATCCTCTGTAGTGGTGCAAAAATGACTCTGATACTATTTTCTTTGCGGATTTTATGGAATTCTTAATGAATCTTGAATTGGGCCCTCTTGCCTGATTTTATTATACATGCAGGCCAGTTTGTTATTTAAGAAGCTATCTATACGGTTGGATGCCTTGTCGCATTTTCACTTTACACCTAAACCCGTGAGTTTATCTGGAATCATACTTCCATTTTCTTTATTTAGACACTCAATGATTCTGAAAATTTAAATTCGACACCTGGTACAGGTCATTGAGGAGATGTCCATTCAAACAAATGTCCCTGCTCTTGCAATGGAAGAGGTAAGCAAAAATATTGAGAAAATAAGTATAATAAGAATTGCGGAAACTGTTTTTCTTTATCTGCTACAGGACATGATCTGGAAAGAGATTTTGTAATCAGTGTACCAGATCTTCTTTTAATTACTTTTTATTGTACTTCCAATGGGCAGGTTGCTCCTATAGCAGTTTCAGATGCAGCCATGTTGGCTCCTGAGGAGGTATTTGCAGGCAAAGGAGATATTAAAGAAGAGGGAGAGCTCACCAAAGCTGACAGAAAGCGGAGAAGAGCAAAAAAGAAGAGGATATTTAAAGGTACCTGATCTGCTTTTATTCTGTCCATGTTGTGTATAGCTTATGACGTTCACCTTATCTGTATGTTGTCTTATAATGTACATTAATGCTTGTGATGCCCATCCAAATTCCCCCCTGCAAGCATGCCAAGTAACCATGCACCTTTTGACCAAACTGACCCATTTTCCATTGAAGCTTTTATATTTGTATTTTTTGTGGAGTCACATCCATTTTGTACTATCTGTGTTCTATAGTTTTCTTTATACGGAGGAAAGTATTTGATAATCCTAAAAGTATGATGCAGTACTTTAAAGGGCGATCTCCCTTCCATACCAGGTGATGGACTAATAGCCCTTTGGCGTACAATACTTCTATACTTCATTGAATTGTGTCATATTCTATTTTTTATAATGGAGGTTAAGGACTGTCTAGTTTTAGCACAAGCAATCGTGACTTTGTGTGCGTGAACTTTCCATCTTAATGGACAAATGACCATTAAATCTATTGCGTATATATGATGGGACATGAAATTGATAAATTGGAGTATAGGGGCTATTCTGGAATTTCTGTCACTTCTGAATTCCAAGTACTTTTCTGGAATTTATTGAGTTCTTTTAGGGAGCTTTTTGGTTTTGGTTTCTTTGAGTACTAGACATTGTCAATTCCCTGGAATTCAGAGGTGTTCTGGGAATTTGTTTTTCAGTTTGAGGGTTTCTGGTCATGGAAATAAGGGGTATTACAAATGGTTATGAGGTTCTTTTGGTCACCTTGGAGAACGTAGAAGTTTTCTTGGTTTATTGCAATCTATGCTCCAAGCCCTAATTAATCGTCGTAACTCTCTTTTTTGTTCTTGGATTTTTGTTATTCTCTGCTGTGAATTCTGTTCCTCTTTCTCAATTCCATTTCCTAAAAGTGCACTGGATGCTCTTTCCTTAAAGACCTGTCTATTATATTTTTCCTAGAAGTGAAATAAGGGGCATTACAAATGGTTATGAGGTTCAAGCACACTAGTGTTTTTGGGGATCTTGTCTCTTTTGTTGGTTTTAGCCTTCTTTTGTGTGTCCAATCTGTGATTTAATTGTGATGGCTGCACATGGGAAGTGTGGTAGAGGGTGAGGTGTATGGCAAGAAGCTGTATAGCAGATTCAAGCACACTTTGATCGACTAACTCATATGATCATGTGTCGAGAAGCTGAAAAAGACCTAATCAAGGCTGAGATAAATTTTGATGAGCCTGAGAATGAGCACTGTTCAGCCTCATATGGAGTTCGACATACGTCATGGAGAAGCAGATGATAATGATGCTTATCAGAGCCAGAAGAGGAGGGAATAATGGTTCTATTAATTCATGCATTAGAACATAACAAGGACGATGGGATTTGTGCAGAAGTTATTGCTTTCCATAGGAAGTTTAGTCCGAATGAATTCATGAATTGGATTGAGAATATAAAACAGTTATTGAGTGGACAGACTTGCTGGTAGATCGGAAGGTGAAGTTTGTTGTGCAGCTTGTGCTAAAAGTGAAGGGTCATGCACTTTTATGGTGGAAACAAGTGAAACTAGAGGAGGGGCTTGGTAATGGTAAGAGCAGAGCTTGGAACAGATGACGACACATTTGAAGAGAAAATTTCTTTCAATTAATTATGTACAAACCCTATTCCATCGATGACACCAATTACAATATGGGAATAGATAAGTACATGAGTACACGGAAAAATTTGAGTAGCTGGTTGTCTGCCACAACATTAAGCCGTTGTTCAACACAAGTGTGTCACATCCTGCAATCCAAGATCAAGTCAGTTTTCCATAGCTGGTTGGTGATGCATACCAGTTGGTATTGAAGATGAAGCGGTGGAAGATAGGTTCCACGTGGTGTACCTTCGGGGAGAGGTGAGCTTCAAATTCATCTAGGCAGCCCTTGGTGTATGGTGGGCTAAGCTTCAACACTCTGCAACCCTCAAACCAGCTGAATCCTATTCAAGGGAGAGGTCTTAAGGGGCATGGGATTACAAAATGACAGCAGGGTGGAGATGCTTTCTGATGCTGTAAGTGTGGAGAAGGGGTCATCAATCTCCCTCTTCTTCAAATCGGATGTTAAATCAACTAGTCAATTTAGCTAATCAAATGGAAGATGATGTTCTTTGGCAGAGATATTGGAGGTGAAGTACATGATGCTCAACACTTTATTCCTAAGGAACGAGCAGTGATGAGGTGTTACAACAACAAATATTACAACTGATGGGGGTGATATTTTGATAGCCCTAACAGCACAGTAAGTGAAAAGTAGTGAGGTGTTTCAGGAATACTATATCCTGTACATGTTACACTTCTCATGGGAAGATTTGTAAAGTTATTATAGATCAGGGCAGTAACCGAAATGCAGTTTCTCAGTTCATGGTTAACGAATTGGAGCTGGAGACCATGATGCGTCCACACCCATGACCCATTTGGTTTAGAAAAGGCAACGGTTGTCTCTTCATGTTGCCTAAATTATTTTCCTGCTGGAAATTTATTTGTGGATTAGGTATGGTGCAATGGGTACCAATGCATGTGTGTCAATCTTGCTTCAATCTGCCTGCAAAACCATACATTATGGGAATTAGTATATTTATGGATTCTGGAAAGGTAACTTTAAAATTACTTTGGTACCAACTAGAGACGATCAACCACATAGGAAATGTATGGACAAATGTAATAGTGGTCTTACTTCACCAAATTATGTAAAGAGAGTAAGGGGATCATGTATGTACTAGTTGGGAGAGAAGAAGCAGAAGTCTTGCCAATTTAAGTACCAAAAGAAGTTCAGTCTGCTCTAGATGAGTTTCGTGGGATAATGCCTAGTGATTTCTTGATGGACTCCCCCCATGTGACAAATTGAGTGCCATTTAGATCTTATTCCATGTTTGAGCTTGCCAAATTTAGCTCACTCCTGGATGAGCTGACAAGAGCATAAAGAACTTTGCTGGCTGGTCAAAGAGTTGTTGAATACAGGCTTCATTTGGGAGTGTGTGAGGCCCTGTGCAGTCCCCGCTCTATTGATACCGAAGAAGAATGACATAAGGCGAATGTGTGTGGACCATAGGACCATAAATAAATTATGGTCACGTATAGGTTGCCAGTACTTAGGCTTCATGACATGCATGATATGGTGTCTGCAGCAAGAATTTTCACTGAAGTTGACCTCAAATGTGGATACCCTTTGTTCAGGATTTGCCTTGGGAGTCGATGGTGATGCTTTTTGGCTTATTAAATGCCTCTAGTGCCATCATGAGAACAATGTGTCAAGTGTTGCACCCATTTATTAGTAAGTTTGTTATCGTTTATTTTGATGACATACTTGTCTATAGCTCTTCTATTGATGATCACATTGTCTCATTTCCATCGTGTCATGCACGTTTTGAGGAAAATATGCTGTGTTAACTTCAAAAAATGTAAATTTATGATAAATACACACATATTGTTGGGCTCTGTCATATCATCTGAAGCCACGAGGTAGATTCCAGCCAACCTGGATGCCATAATGCAATGGCCAACACCTAAGAATATTGGAGATGTGCATAGTTTTAATGGTTTAGCTTTTTATAAAGAATATCAACATGATCATTTCCACCATTATTGACTGCATGTGGAAGGGAAGCTTCCAATTGATGCAGGAAGCATATCTAGGTTTCCAAGTTATCAAGGAGAAGATGACACATGCTCCGGCACTTACATTACCATATTAGACAATGTTTTTTGCCTTGATTGTGACGCCTCTCTCATAGGCATGGATGCTATCCTCAGTCGAGAAGGGCACCCTATTACTTATTTTGGCGAGAGATCAAATAATGCAAGGGCTCAATTTCTGCATATGATGTAGAATTTATGCTATAGTTCAAGCCCTTAAACTTGGGCCACACTTTTTAAATCAGAGGGAGTTATATTCTCAAAAAGCTATTTGAAGGGAGTTTGTTCTATTGTTGATCACAAAGACCTCTGCTACTTGAATTCACAGTGGAACCTCAGGCATCGACATGCTAAGTGGGCCTTCTTATAGGTGTACACTTTTCTCCTCAAGCACAAGTCAGGTGTGCACTGTGCTGAGAACCGAGTAGCTGATGCACAAGCAGGCATTCCTTACTTAATGGATACTTTGCTAGTATGGTGCATGGGGTTATCGGGTTTGAATTGATTAAGGAGCAATATCAAGAGGTGCTGTTTCAAGCCCTTGTGGGAAGCGTTCATACATGGTACCAATGATCCTTTATCCAAGTTCATGTTGCAAGATAGGTTTTTCTTTTATGGGATTTGTGAATTTATTTCGAGGAATCATTGAGGGAGAGTAACGGGGGTTTGGGTGGACATTTTGGAAATTTCAAAACCATCACTTTGGTGGAGGAAAACTATTTTCTAGACGGAACTAAAAAGGGACATGAAGCATTACATGGAGCTTTGTTCTATATGTTAACTTTTTAAGGGCTGATTACGCCCCACTTCCCATTCCAAGTACGCTATGGACATCTTTAGTAGGACTTCATTCTTGACTTATTGAGAACCCTGCTACGTATGTATCTGAGTTTTGTAGTAGTGGATCACTTTTCCTAAATGCCTCCTTTCTTGTCATGTAAGAAGACATTTGATGCATATAATGTGGCTGCCTTTTTATTTAATGAGATTGTCTGGTCGCATGGTTTGGCATTGCATTAGATAGGGATTGCAAAATTTATTATTCATTTTTGGAGTACTTCACGGATAGGTGCCAATTTGAGGAATTGTAGTGCCCATCACCCCATGGGAAAACAAAAGTGATTAAGTACATCCTAACCAAAGCGTTGGAAATCTACTTGGAAGCTTACCTGGAAATATGTCATCTCAATGGAACTTGGTTCTGCCTCAAGCTGAATTCGCATATAATGCCACCATGAGTCGATCTACTGCAATATACAATTTGAGATATTTATGGTTGGTAGCAGAGTCTTAAACTAGACTAGGAGAAGGCCTACAACTACGTCGATTGGGTCATCCTATAGGGTGATGCAACT